TTTTAAGAAATAAATTTTTAGCAATTATAGTCCAATATTATACGTAAATATTCGATGAGGCTATGTTTGAATTAAATATTGATTTGGTTAAAATTATAAAACTTAATTTATATGATTTTTAATTTGATTTAAGTCACACAAAATATGAATATGGGTTAAATATAGAATATGATTATTTATTATCCTATCATGAAAAGAATTAAGATTATGTCTCGTTGGCAGAAGTAGGATCTTTTATAAAATCCCCTTTGACTCTCCTTTCAATCACCAAGAAACATAATTGATTGTAGGAGGGGAAAAAAAAAAAGCTATAGGAAGGGAAGACATGAAAGGTATTGATCCTTATCATTTCTTATTGATATTTTTGATATATCGGTTATAAACTTAGTTAGTTTTGTATTTATTTATAATAAGCTTACAAAGTAATTTATATTGTCTATCAAATATTTGTTAAAATATTTACTTGTGAAATTCCTAGTTAAACGTTTTATTTGACATGACTTCTCTAGATCCTTTAAGAGATTTTATGAAGATTTGACTCTTTTTAGATGGACACATAAGGATGTTATATAACTTGGACAAAACCAACAAAGTTTATGATAGATATATATCATGTTTGATATATTCTTTTATGTGTATTTTGCATAACATATTCTATATGAAAATTAACATATTTAAATTAATTTATTATATGATTGAATATTTGAAGTAGTTACTTTTTGCATAGAGGTGAAATTTTATGTGGCAAAGGCTAGAGACAAATAATTACCTTAGTGTTAATAAAAAAAAATATATTGTTTTTGATAAATCGTAAGTGATGGGGATTTAATAAAAAAATTTAAGTGGTGAGGATAAGATTTAATCTTTAGTCATTCGAAAGTATTAATAAGACTTAAGCCTTAGTATTAATGAAAGAAATCTTTTTTTTCTTTTGCAAACGATAAGTGATAAGAAATATGTTTGAAAAATCTTAACTAGCTAAGATGGCTTAAGATCCTAAAAAAAAAAATTCTATATTCAATCAATCGGTAGTCAATTAGATTTCATGCTGATGAGGCTTGATGATTCATTTTATTTGAGGACAAACATTTGTACGATTCTTATGGCATGTTGACAGTCGAGAATTTTCCTTCAAGTATAGCAGCATTAGTTGAACAACATTTGTACTATTCTTATGACATGTTGATCTGTCATCTTACATATATATATATATATACTTTGTCATTAATACTTATCTGACATAAAATGATTAATTCATATTACTTAATGATTCTTCCTTATTATGAATACCTCCATTAGTATTCATGGAAATAAGTTAACTGACTGTTGCTCAAGGCTCGAGCTCTGGAGAAGCAAAGGCAAAGGAGGAGCCAAACAGGTGCAGCTCTTGCAAGAAACGGGTTGGTTTGACTGGTTTCACTTGTCGATGCGGGAATCTTTTCTGCGCCGCGCACCGCTACTCGGACAAGCACGCTTGCTCGTTCGATTACCTGAGGGCGAACCAGGACGCAATCGCCAAAGAAAACCCTGTTGTTAAGGCTAAAAAGCTTGATAAGATCTAGAGATGTGGAGTAAAGCAAACGTTGAAATCATTAGTCAGTAAGATGCGTCTTGATTGTTCAGAGCTTGGTTTGGTGATTGTTAATACACCGTGATAAGATCCATTGTTTTAATGCATAACACTCCATGTTTGGTGCATAGAAGCATTGGCTAGTCCAACATGTTTTAATTATGCTTCGTTGCAAAGATTATGACTGCCTCATCTAATTGATAAAACGCAACTTGAATGGAAGAGATAAAAAAGCTGCTTCAATCATAAGGCTGAAATTTATATAAGCATAATGTACGAGAAAGTAGAGTATATACTCTGCAATAAATTATCAGAGAGCTGGTCACATGAAATTGTGAACGAAGCTCTTCCAACTTCCACTCCACTAATCGTAACAATATATTAATTCTGCTCTGTACAAACTGGTGTTATATGCCAGTATGAAAGCACCATCACTTGCTGTTCAGAGTTCCGTCTTCAACTGGTTCGAGTTCAGCAACACTGCAAAACCAAGAAGGATGCAGTTCAGTGTTTCATCTATGATGCATGTCTAGATATGCATAAATGTCTAAAATAACAATAAACATGCTCATTGATGCAGGTTTCTTATTACTTAAATAGACTGAACAAGCATAGCGCTCTCTCTCTCTCTCTCTCTCTCATATGAGGTATTTTTATCTGTTTATGTACAAGTGTAAAAGGAAATTTTCTCTTTTCATATATGAGGTAATGCACCACTGACTTCCAGATGAGGCGAACATGATTTGCAAAATGATCCAACTAAAACAAAAATAATAATAAATGCATTCTTCTGTAACCAGGCCTTCCCATCCATTTCATATGAACGAGGAACATCAAAAGGATTTTGCTGAGTAAAAATGCTTGAACTCATGATAAGTCGAGCCGCTCGAGATCTGTGACGAGATCTTAAGATTAGTGTCAATTGTCGAGTTAGAAAGTCAAAAATAAACAGTAAAAGTTCCCGACATCCAGGATAAGATTCCAACCCAAAGTCAAAATACAGCAACTAGCTTAGTCTAAAATCGTCCAGAGTGGTGGCCCAGATGCCTGTCACAGTAATATCAAGATCGTCAATTAATGACTTAGCTTCGACACACAATGGTACATGAGTTGTTCGGCACCGAGCTTGGTTGGTACCAGCTGGGCTTAGTAAAACCAAGTGTGAACATCCAAGACCTAGGGGAAAAGACAGTCTTTGATGGTGAAGTATAGCGAAGAACACAAGAAGCAAAATTTGACACGAAATGGAACCTAGAGAATGGCTATGCTGCTATCCACTTGATCTGAAGTAAATAGTCAAGAGGCTTGTACAGGACTGATTGTGAATTATGAGGTTGGAACAGGGGAAAGACAGCCACTGCACAGACGAGAGTTATGACACCAACTTTTTCCTTGAAGGCCCAAGACCGTCAGAAATAGAAGACAGACAGTTGTACATGGTGAGGGAGGAAATCTACATGCCAAGGGGACCATTGGGACCAGATTTGAGAAAGGTGTGGTCCGGGGCAGGCCGATTAAACAACAGGCAGCCCACGTTGCCTGAGGCAATCATTTATGGCTTTGGGCCCGACAATGCCACCCGACTGGGACAGCAGCAGTCAGAAACCAAAAGACAACGGATCTCATCTCTGTCCTCCCAAAAGTTCTTCCTACACTCAGTTCGGAGCCCACGGGATGATTCAAGACGTGCATTCTCAATACGTGCCAATTAAGTATAAGAAGATGAAATAACGGGAAATTTGTGCAGGAATTACCGGAGCTGGCGGGATCGTAGCCGACGAGCGAAGCCCCGGGGTTGAGGAGGGCGTGCGGATGGGCGGGTCCATCCCTCGTCCACGCCATCGAAGACTGCTGAGTTGGCCAGACATCGACGTGCCGGATTTGCGGCTGCGGCAGCCAACGTGCTCCGTTCGCCGTTACCGGGTGCGACGACCACAGCGCAGGATCCAAGGCCACTCCTCCCCTCCCATTAGCCGTCGCCAGCGGTCCACACTGCCATCAACGACCACGTTTCAGGTCACACTAACTCGTTTCCAGTCTTCGAGAACGGAAAATCGCAAGAGAATATTTCTAGCCCTTCCACATGGGATTCAGAAAAGATGCGCAGAACGGAGAACGAGAAGTTACCTCCGCCGATAAAAAGCTGTCGAGGCCGCCAAAGTCGATCCTCGGGTTCACGGCCGCTAATCTCATCGACAGGAACTGCGAACCACAGTGGAGAAATCGGTGATCTCATCATTATTTCTCTCGTTTATCTTATCTTAAGCTAATAATAACAACTGAGGGGCTTTTTGGTGAATTCCAGTGATACAGCTGTGCGAGCGACAACACTTGTGGTGGAGCGAGTAGTGTACCTCAACTTGCCTCTGAAGCGACTGTACGTGATTGATGATTTCATCCAGCACCAAAGCCGTACCTGTTATCTGCGTCACGGACAGACAGATTAGATAGTTCACTCTCAAGTCCTTTTTTTCTGTCTCCGAATGAAAAAGAGAGAGAGAGAGAGAGAGTTCTAAAAGACCAACAGCTTAGTCGTTTGTTTCAGCCAAAATTTGGTTTTTGATTCTGATTTGGGAAAGAAAAGTCGTTCAATCACAATTAACAACAATCCCTGTCGTGGGTCTGCACAAAAGTTGCTTAGCAGAATAATAATAATTGGTTTCCTCACTAGGTACTAGCATTTAAGTAATCGAGTGGATCCCTCTTTCTGCGTGATGACGTGCATCGTTTAATATACGTGTGTCAACCGCAACATACCCAAAGTCTACTCAAGCGCCCAAATCACATCGTGTCCCCGTCTCCGTCACTTTTCCTTCACAGGCACCTAGAGCATTGAGCCGCACTTTGCGCTGGATTGCACACGCCCGACCCACTTCGTTCGCGGCCCCATGCCTTCTTTACCCACGATCTAACCCCATCGAGAGACTAACGGGCCTTCAGAAGACTATCGGATCAAAATCCAGATCCGACCTGTGTTATAAGGTAAGCGAACGAGTTCGACACATTGATTGACTCTAACAGGTCGGATCACAAGTAGATATACCCAGACCCGAACAGGGAGGGCACCTAGTTAGAAAGGGCCCCAGCCGAAGGACACACAAGGTCGCTTACAAAAGGAAGCCGACCGAACCAGATCCAAATTACCTGGCTCCAGGGAATCCCCCTCTCCGTAAGACCACTAAGCATAAATAGTAAAAGCCATCAACGCACAATATTTATTGCAAGTTTAGCACAGTAAGCATTATATATATATATATATATATATATATATATATATATACTTGTTACTAATTAAATGTCAATTAAGAAAAGGAGTAATGAGAAAAATACCAACCTTGCTGCACCCGGGAACTAATTCTTGGAGAAGCTTCATCCTTGCATTTATTTTTTCCCTCCGCGCCTACAATAAATTAAAGAAATAAATAAATAAATAAATAAATAAATGAGCTAAAGGAATTAATTAATGGATCATTAGGCCACAAATGAAGCAGTAGTACTCTCTCAGCTAAGCTGTGGCTATCGGTGGCTTGGCCTCGGCGAGCACGGACGTGAACATAGGGGAGCTTCTCACCATCGGTGTTCTCCGCCGCCGTCTCCTTCGCTGCTGCGGCAGTGGTCTCCTCCGCGCTCTTGCTCTTCTTTGCGGGTCCCTTCGCCTGCGTCCCAAGGGAGGAAATTATATCATCCCCACAGCTACAAGAGGAGGTTACCTTACTGGGAGAGGGGAGGTTCCCGGTTTACCTTGCTCTTCTCGCACTCCTTCCTTTTTGCCGGCCGCTGAGTCTTCTCGGTAGGGATAGGGAGGAGAGGGGGGGAATCGGAGTCGAGGGGCTCCGCCTTGAGCCGTGGCGAAGGGCCGCCGCCGGAGCTCAACGCCGGTGAATCCTCGGCGGCGAAGACGGAGAACCTCGCGGCGCGCTCCACGAGGGCAGCGTTGGAGGGGAAGGTGGGAGAGCAGCCAAGCGGAAGGTGGAGGGGGCCGGCGGCGTGCTCGCCGAGGCGGAGCCGCCACAGCTCACCGGTAGGGGAGGGGGCCGCGGCAGAGCCGGGGGCCTCACTGGGGCCCGTCTCGTGGAGGAGCTCCACGGCTTGGTTGGCTGGGAGGCCGAGGAGCGCAGTGAAGGAGCCGCCAGCCGCGGGGGAGGAGTCCAAGCTGGGGTGGACAATGCTGTGGATCTCCTCCTCGAAGCGTAAGGATTCCGCAATTTCCGTCGTATAGGCCCCGGAATTCCCAGATCCGACGCCGGAGCACCGCGCTGGTCCCATCGACTCCCTCCAAACCAAACCGATCGCAGCCCAATTCGCCAAGTCCCCCGCCGAATGCCACCGGAAATCCACAAATCGAACCGATCCCTCTCGATTCCTTCACCCGTTCCGCCAGATCGAAACCCCTGCTCTCGGGAGCGATTGGGGGACACGTCGGATGGGGGGAAACCACCGCGGAAGGCCTCGAACCGGGAGGACAATACGAAAGGGAAGGCGCTAAGAGGAGGCAACCGGCGTCATCTAGAGCTCACCTATGGCGGTCAAAGAGCTCTTCCTCTCTCGTCCCTTCTTTATCATCTCTCTCTTGTTTTTTTCTCTTGAGGCGGTTTCAACGGCCGCGCTCTGAAACGAACGTATGATAACCGTACTTAAAAATTAGAAGGGGGTTGGGAGTCCGGTCACCTTCAGTCGAAGCAAAAAAAGAATCTCATCAAAGGTGAGGATAATTTTATGCTATTGGATCAAAATTCTGCTCACATTAACACAAAATACAACTTGAAAACTGTCTTAAAGCCTTTATCTCCAAAGAGATGCATTGACTCGTAGTAGCTACGAGCTTCCCATATTTGAAGATTCATGTGGAATGATGATGTTTCTTTGCCAAACTAGAAAATTCAACAAGCTGCTTCTGAGTAGACATGGCTGGCATATAATTGTCTCGGTAACCTCACCGCGGATTAGGTGTAGCACAGGCACGCGGCACTTCAGGGAAAGGCAACGGAACGGGGAACAGGAGCACGAAGAACGAGGAGGGTGCAGAAAGATGCGTACGTAGGAGATTACGGGACTTTCTTTATTTCTTGTTCCGCTGTTCCGTTCTCTGCTCTTCTTCTCCGTGTTCATATACTGTGGCCGGGAGTGGAGAGGTGGGAGATCGAGACTGGCGGTTCCGAAAGGGGCGGCGACGAGGGCGGGACCGCGGGCCCCGAACCGGTGTACCTACGGCTGCCGTCATGCACACGTATAAACATACGGCGCGGGCGTACTCGCCACCGTATGAGGCGGGGTGGGGACGAGAAGAGAAGCGGTGGGGGCGAGATAGCCGACAGCTTTTCTTTAACAGAGGCCTCGACACGTCGCTCTCTCGCATCGATGCGGGAAAGCAGTGCGGGCAAGTTTCACTGCGGGTAAGTCGTCCGCCTGCGTTTTCTAACACCGGATCTCCTCCAGCTTGTGAGGTATACTTCTCGACACCAGTTTTACCAGTGGCATGTATAAGTACAGTAAGCATTTATGACGCTGTCCATCCCCACCCAGTCGTCTCCACCAGATCAAAGCGTCCACTTTAAGGGGTCCATCTAGATGGACGGCCCTGATCAACCGAGGGCGCAGTGATCGTTGCTTGGTCCCGAGTGTACTGACTCTGCGACAGTACGTGCGCGGTATGGTATGGTGGACAGGTATACGGTGCGAAGACGTAGACAACGGGGGCTTCTTATGGGGGTGGGCCGTCAGGAAACACCGTATGTAGATCGAGTCAGCCTGTGACACGTACTCTGGGCTGCACGATCGAGAGATCACGAAAGTATGGCGACTCGGCTTCAATGCTGCTGCGAATCAAAGACAAGAAATGGTGATCGCAACATCAATTTCTTAGAAGAATGATGGATGTCTAGAAGGAAAGAGAGATCTAAAGTCAAGTTCTGGGCTGCAACTCGAGGTACAATTGTGTCGTAATATATTTTGCAAGTCCATTTATGATATATAGGAATTTAGTTATCTATTTATGTTTGTAAGTAGCTCATTTTGCATCACATTTAATGAAGCTTATAAGGTTTCTGAAGATCATATGGGATGCATCACTAAGAAGTTAAATAGAAAAAATCTCATGGAAGAGGTGTAACATTAGATTAATTTCACATCCAAAATAGATAAAATTAAGACTAGTCTTATTGATAAATATAATATTATCAATTTTATCTTAAGTATTTTAACTAATGATTTATGTTTAACAAAATTGATAGATCAATTAGTCCATCAAACACAAGTTATGATATCTTGATATCAAAGTCAATCTTATAAGAAAGAACTACTTGTGAATAGAGTCATAAAATTCACCATTGAGCAACTAGAGTTAAGTCCTATATACATCGGGTTTGATCAAAATTATAATATCTCAATTAGTTCTACATCAGAAATAAATAAAATTAAGATTGATTTATAAGAGTTTGATAAATATATTAATATTAATTTTAGCTTAAGTATTTTGATTAATAGTTCGTGCTATACGAAGTTGATAGATCAGTTAATCCATTTATGACAATAGGAGATATGATTATACTTATTCTGATTGAAAGTTAGCGACACATCATTCAATATTTTTTATGAAATTATTATTATTTGTTAGGGATTTAAAGCTGTTTTGCACCAGATGAAATGCTAAAGATCATTTTGATAGACTAAAGATGATTTGGATGATCATTCTAAATGTTATTAGATATATAATTTATCTTAATAATTTGTTTGTGTAGGTCCAAGTTTTTTTAAGGAGAGTGTCAGACCTTCTTTTATTTCTGAAATATATTTTTGTTCTTTGTAAATAATGTAGAGTTTTTATCCCTAAAAATGAGTAATTTATTGGAAGACAACTAAAAGTTTGTAAGTGAGGATAATTGTTGCAAAAACAGTTTGAATCAATGATCCATAATGGACAAAGTGGGCAGAAAATTATCCGCCCATAAATTAAGCCTGTGGGTTGCATCTTCCCATCTTTGTTTCTTGAAGTAAGTCTTCATTGAGAGTGATGGGCTGACGAAAACCAGAGTCTCCATTACTTCTACCGTGCCAAAGCACTTTCTTCTCGTCTCTCTGTCTCATATCTCCTAATTGAGCTCCTGGAGGGCTGTCAATGGTTGTGTGCAGTCCATTTGACACCCTTGTGCTATCACAACACATGAAGTTAGAGCATGTCATGTGTTGTTACGCTGCTCACATCACGGTGAGAAATAAATGTGGCTGATCAAGCATTTTGAGTAGCACCCTCACATCTATCATCCCTGACATAGTGCTCGACTATAAACATGTTCTCCAATGAACCCAGCATTGCCCTCATCCTCTTGTCTCCTTGGCTACTTCTCCTCACCTAGTGCACATGTATCAGAAAGCTTTGGGGCTTTGATTGTCCAGACCAGTCTCAAACTGTGCTCAGATTCAGTGGTAAGCAACACAAGACCCTAAGGACTACTCAGAAGCTGATTTAGCTTGAACTGGTTGGCTATAGCTTTGCAACAGCTCTTTGCCAATGACCACAAGCTATCCTCGACCATCTCAAGCCTCAACTGGCTGAAGAATTTGGATTTCCATTGAATTGAGCCAACCATGTTTTGTTGTGGGCTGAGATGTCCACATGACCGAACACAGTCCAACTATTTATATTTGTATTGTTTTAATAACAATCATCACATTGGCCATATCAATAATTCTCGTTTAAATATTTTGATCCATAATTGATAGGTTAGTTAGTCCATCAGGCTCGGGTCATGATATTTGGTATCAGAGCCGACCTAACATTTGAGCATGGTGAGGGGGCTCAATTAGGAAAGGGCTATCCGTAGACGGAGTCAGATGATTCATCACGACGTGGAGCCACCATTGGGCTACGCCTCACATGCACTATGCTAAGGCCTGATTTGAGTTATGTTGGGTTTTGACGAGGACGTCAGCCTTTGAGTGGGGGTGATTGTAACATCCCTGATTAGTTTCATATCGAAAGTAGACAAGATTAAGATTGACTTATAAGGGTCTGATGAATATACTATTATCAACTTCAGCTTAAACATTTTGGTCAGTCATTTAGACCAAACAAAGTTGATAGACTAATTAGCCTGGCTCGAATCGTGACAATTGGAGCTATAATAGAAGTTGAAAATAGCTTCTTATCTTTTCAAGATAAATAATATTTTCTTTCCGTGGATGTTGATATACAAATATCTATGCCCCAGGTTGAAGACTGGCACTAGCTGATCATGAAGCTGTTTTCGAGGTTGAAGACAACTTCTTGTTCCATGGAATGGAGAGATCCACAAAAATTGCACCTACTGACAAACATCAGAATATCTCCATGGTCTATGTGCTTATGGAAGTCTTTTCTTATTGGACATCCCTGATGTCATTCTAAGCTCCATTTCTTAAACATGTGAGGTTGATATATTTTAAAGCAGTTTGCTGTTATATAAAATAAAGATCAGAATCAACAGCAGGCCTGATTCAGTTCATCAACTTGAATTCTTGATTCTGAAAGCTACTTGTTACTGTAGAAAACATGCCAGAATCAGCAGGTCTGATTCAGCTCCTCTTGAATCCTTGATTCTTACACCAATATCATAATCTTTAGCAAGCTTGGATCACCTCATTCTGAATCCTTGACTCTGAACATGATTCACATCTCGAGCTCTTGATTCTGAAAGAAGCTGTGTCATTGGTGTCGACTACCAATGAAGTTGAAAGAGCTATTAAATGTAATGGGAGTTGCAGGACAAGTACATATTCTAATCATGTATCAGTAGCTCAAAACTGGAAGTAATCTTATGTCATTAACAGAGGAAGAAGCGTACAAGCAACCACACTAGCAGTAAGGCTGTTCGCGAACATCAGCAGAGCAACAAAGAAGGTGATCAGATCAGGGATTAAAGAACTGCTTTACCATGTACTGCCCCAACTAGATCTGCCAAATCTTGTGGTCTACTGCATCGAGGACAAGAATGCATGAAGCAGGGAATAGAGAAATGATCCGAGGTTTCCTCCCATGGCACGTTCCCAAAGTCGTGTCATTGCAGCACAGAATCCAATAATGTTACGGAGTCTGAGGGTGTCCACCAATGAGGAGGGAAGAACGTACCGTTGTCTCATGCTGACTTTGCAACGACAAATGTTGAGCTTGATTCCACTTGCAGCAGCGAATGGACGGCCGTGATCGGAGGTTCTCGTGGTTTCCAACATGTAAAGTCATCGGTCTTTCGTTTATATATCATCGGACGAATTTTTTTGAAAGAATTCCTTAGTTTTAAAAATATATTTACATATATTTTAATTTTAAAAATATTTTATAAATTATTTTCTTTTTGTCTCTAGTGAATCCGTCATCGTCTTCGGCCTACACTGTTACTCTTTTCTTCGGAACATTAACATAAACACAAGTGAAATAGGTTATGATTATAGAGATAATACGAGATCGATGAAACAAACGAAGTCCAATAAAAACATGTGTAAAGGAGAATCCAATGAAAACCAATAGATTCGATAAGGGTGACAATGGTAGACAAAGACATGAATAAGGATAATATAATTATTTTATAAAAAATAATTTCTGATAATATTTAAAAATAAAAGTGTTAATCAGAAATTAAAAAAAATTCTTAAATTTGCTCTAAGATAATTATATCGTGTGGAAGTGTCGCTGTCGCTAATATCTGCCCATCGGAAGACAACGAATGGTGGCTTTTCCATAGTCAAAGTCTTCCTTTTGGTTGCAGGACTTTTGGGGTTCTTAAGTTAATATCTCTCTCTCTTTCGTCACGCGAATTGGGTCTCTCTTTGAAGCTTCTGGAGGGGAGCGACGATCTTTGTCTCCCCTCTCTCTCTCTCGGACTTCGGGAAGAACGTGAGTGCAAAAAAAAAAAAAATTCAAATCTTTCTTCGAATTTCGCTCTTACAGGGATACTTTATCATCGATTTCGAGAAAAGATCGATTTTTGGCGGTGGAAGAGCCGTAAAGATTGAAGCTTTGTTGTAGAGGCGCGATGAAAATGGACCGATCCGACGGCGGGGGACGCGCGACGGTGGTGGCGATCGAGTGCGTGGCGGGGGGCAGCAAGGCGGAGGAGTGGAGCGGGGCCGGCGGGGAGACGGCGGCGCTGCAGACCGGGGACATCCTGGAGGAGGTCACCTTCGGGGGCTCGCCTCCGGTCCAGGCGCCTTTCAAGGGCGGGCGGGCCGGGGTCATGAAGTACCTCCACTCCGCGTTCAAGCGCGGCGACACCTCCGTCCTCCTCAAGGCCCGCCGTGGCGGCGGCGACCCTAGCGCCGTCATCCTTGAGCTCCACGCCTGCGTCGTGCCCCACCCGCCGGCAGGGCGGCGGCAGTACCTGCTCCGCTCGATCCGCGACCCCAATTACGCCGTCGCCCTGGCCGACCGTTCCGAGTCCGACTGCATCGCCTTGCAGAGTAAGTAATTCTCCTCCTTTCCTCTTTCATTTGCACATAAGCCCCTCCAAAGTTTCGAACAATATATTAATGCAATTGTCAAGAGGCAAAGATGAAGTTCTGCGGTGCTAAATCTATAAGCAATAGTTTCACCTTCTTTTACTGTGTTTTCTTTTGGTGTTAAACGGGAATCAAATTCCAAGAATCCATTCATTCTTCTTCAATTATAGAACAGATCTTATGGAAAGAATGTTTAGAATAACATTATAGATGCAGATCACTAGCATACAAAATACTAAGTCTCTCTTGCAGGAGCTCTCCTTGTGTAACATATAATTGTTAATTCTGAACCTTTTAGGTTTTATTTGTTTGTATAGATAGAATGTTTCAGGGGTGAGTCCACAACTTGCGATTTGAAGTTTAAGATCTGTTTCTGTGTATAGAGAAGTATGAGGATTTCAGGATGTATGCCAAACCTATTGTGGTTAAGTATTGATTTCATTGGCCTATTACGGAAAACTATTGTGGTTGAATATTGATTTCATTGGTCTATTTTTCAATTGATGGCTAGAAAAAATTGAAGATGAAAGTTCTTCTTTTGTGTTGTTTCAGTAGGTCGGTAAAATTTTACAAACCTGTGATCGAGATATTTCTTGTACTTACATCGGTCAGTGATTAGGTTTCTTGGCTGAGAATGTTTATGTAGTTTTCATACAGACTTGAGGTATCTAGTGAATATCTATCTGATTTTTGGAGTTTTCTTTTTAAATCCAAAGGAATTGGGTCGGGATCCCTTTGTAAGAATAATGTAATTATTTCGTAATCAGCTTGTGGGACACTAAATTTATGTATTGAGACCTCGTGAAATTTGTCACGACGCATGGAACCAATATTTTGCTCTGTAAATATGCTTATGTGAACTTGAAGGGTGAAATGAAGGTTTATCACCTTCTTTGTTTATATATGTCGTTTGGCCTTTACAGAAGCAGATACTCCATAGACAGTACTAGATTCTATTCAACAGAGAAAATTTTGTCTGATTCTTTTTATTTCCAGTTCTCCACATGTACTGTTGTTAGTCTAATGTCAAATAAAATTTGGCTTCTAGGGCACATCCACAGGGATGATTTTTGAATAAGATTTGTTTTGAAGAAAGCAATGGGTCATGGACGGTATTCTAGAGAACCACTCGCATGCCACTTCTTGGTGATTGCAAGAAATGTTGCCCTGGGTAATTCAGATTCTAGATCCAGTCCCCAAAGTGTTAGAATAAACATTGTGCATCTTCCAAGTACACAAAACATAATGTGGTCGCAATAAATATTTCTAGGATTTGTGTGGAATCAATCCACATGAGTAGATGCTTAAGTTCTTATTGGCAGTTAAGATCCCTGCTGTATCTGTAGATTGCTTCGAAGAAGATGCATTATAGCTTCGCTTCACTGGGATTAATGTTAAATTAGTGCCATTAAGAAGTTAACATTAAGTTAATAGCTTATTTTGATATGGCTATTTGAAAGAGCTGGCAAAGGATGCTGCCAGATCGGGTTTCATCTTTCTCAATCTAATGGTTTTTGTACTGACCGCTTCTGAAAAGGGTCAAGGAGCTCCAGGGTGGTGTGTGTACTGAGCAACACACAAGTCCAGGATGGTTATGTCTCGTATCCATGGGAGAAGAAGATGAAGGAGTCATTGCGCACCTCGAACTCGAGCTGTTTTCTTTCCATGCTCATCCTTCCCAAGGCATCAGATCCTTCAGGCACCCGCTATAGCTCTCTCGAGGACACCTTATCCCGAGCCAATGCTTGGTTCAACTCCTCGCAGGCATCAGGGGTCCCCATTGCCTTCAGCAGCCTCCAAACTGAGGCCCTGCTTACTAAGGTAATCTGAGAACAAGCTCCAGATATCACCCAATGTTGTTCTCTTCACCAGTCTTCTTTGAGCTCTTCTGTTTGTAAATTGAAAGTAATTCTAATTTTGTCGTGACAGATCTCAGGAGAGACGGCTTCATCTACGGTAAACATGGGATCACTGGCTGACCTCTCAAACTTGGCAAATGTCAGCCTCTATGGATTTGAGGATTACCATGGAGTGGACATTGGGGTGGTAAGAGCTGTTAGGCTTTGGTACACCCCAATAGCAGGGGAGATGCCATTGGAAATTATGCTACAGGAAGGCGATACGAAGCTTGGCTTTGCGATTAGTCGCACCGAAGAGGTTTTCTTTAACACCTTTCAACAAATTCAATTGTTGGATTTGTTTTGTTGGTTGCTCATTCCTTAACTTTCCTAAAATCATTCATCCCTTTCGCTAGAATTGTTTGAATCTAGACAGAATTTATGGACCCTAAGTCTTCGAAATGCTACTGCCATTTCCTTCAGTAAATGTTTTCTCATGCCTTCAAACATGTCGTAGCTTCAAGATCCTAAATATGTTCTGAAAGACGATAGTTTTTTTAACAGGGTTTTATCTACATATCGTCCGTAACGGATGATAACAACTCAGGAGTTGCTGCAGCTCGATCGGGACTCAAAGAACTCTTCAAAGAAGCTTCGGAAGCTTCAAAGCGACTAGTGATCTCAAGGGTCGGGGACGAGAAGGTCCTTCCATGGATGGTGTCCACATCAGGAGCCATCAGGTGCTTCGACACGGTCTCCCTCAGCCAGAAGCTCTCACTGCACCGACACGCGCTGAAGCCCATTTTACTCCACCTGCTCATGTGGGAGACGCCTCCTTCCAGTCCGACGAGCATGGCCGAGAGATCAGAGGCAACGATACCGTCGTCGCTGCCATTTGAGCTGTCACCAACACCGTCTCTTGTGCCGCCATCCCCAGTGGATAAAGTGCTGCAGGATTTGGTCTACAGAGGTGGTGCCGAGGGCAGTCTCACTAGGGATACTGCCGGAGATGTGTCCTTCAGATTCCACAACTTCTCAATTACCAGGAACTGGGTCTGACCTTAGCCTTCATGTTCTTCTCATCTCTGTACATAAAAGAACAGGTCCTCTGCATTGAAGAAACATCACCAGGTAACAACTATTACAGATTGAAGTGTAGAACCGAAGTAATAAAGGAGCTCTCAGACTGTAAATGTAGCGTTGCAGTTTGCAGCTTTCAGCTTTGACATCTAAATGTGGTTGTAGAATTGTAAGTCAACTGCTTTGCGTCGATCCATTCTAGCAAAATTCCGAGTTTGTCAGTGTTTTCATAAAGACATGTAATGATGATTGGATATAATGCAAGTGAAGTTGTTTTTGCCTCATTTAATGGATGAGTGATAACTTAATTCTGATGAAAGTGCAAACGAGAAAGAATATAAGATTTGACTTTGGAGGCATGGTGGCTTGTGCTGCTCGTTGACATTGGTTTGACTTGGGCTGTAATTAGTGACATGGGCCTTCCTCTTTGATGGGCCGAAACAATGTTGTGGCATTACGATGTGCCTCAGGAACATGTGAACGCAGTCGCCATCACCCCTTTCTCCCACCGTTGTCACCGTTTAAAGCAGATAACGCTCCTCATCTCTTTCCCTGCTTCGCCCCTCTTCCTTCGCCCGCCCCAAAAACCCTAACTCGCTCTTTGCTATAAACCCTACACCTCAATTTCCTTGTTTCTTCGTTCTCTGGAAGGAATGGCGGCGATCTCGTCGTTCTTGTCTCCCAATCTCTACCATAACCCCAGGGAATGCAGCGGAATCCCCAAAGTATCCGCCTGGCTGGTTGCCGGAGCTTCTCCTGCGAACTACCGATCATTGTCCTCCTTCTCTTTGTCCTCTTCTGCTTCTTGCTCTGTCCGCAGGAGGAGAGCTTTTTCCATCTTGGCCGTGGATTCCACCGCAACGGCTGAGCCGGAAGTCGCGCGGAGGCTCTACGTGGGGAACATCCCAAGGACCGTGGACAATGAGGAGTTGACCAAGATGTTTGCGGAACATGGATCTGTGGAGAAGGCCGAGGTATTATGACCCACTTTTTCCTTCTTTTTTGTGATTGTTTCCCCTTAGAACTTGAGAACTTCAATTGGTCGTAGTTCAGAAAGCTTCTATCTTGGAGGGGATTTGGCAACAATTATTGGGTGTACTGTGTTGTTGATTTGTTTTCGTATATTTAAACTTTTAACAGACGTAATGATACTTTGAATTCTCTGCTTGGATGTTTGAAGTTGATTGTCTGCCACATTCTACAATGAGAGTTTTTACTTCTCTGGATTTCTTTCTTCCTATTTTAGCTCTACAGCTTCGTGATATTCCGAGTTTAATTTGGAATTCATCTGTCTTGTACTATGTAAAAAAAATTAATAAGAGCTGTGTTTGGTAGCGAAACCGCTGCTTTCACCCTACCTAGTTGCAAATTGGAGAGCTCGAACTAGAGCTTTAATAAACACTCTCTGCCACGAATGAAAGCTGCCTCAAATGTTTCATAAGCAATGGTCTGCAAATTCTTTCAGCATGCTCATAATATCATCACTGTAATAACTGACATTAATCTGCAAGTTGATCATGGGTAGAAGGTTCGGTTCCTTGCTTTCTCTAAAACCATGTTATGTATGCCTGATCATATTCTAGGAGAATTTAATATGTCATGTGTTTTCTCTTTCAGGTTATGTATGATAAATATTCTGGAAGGAGCCGGCGTTTTGCATTTGTGACAATGAACTCTGTAGAGGATGCAAATGCAGCTATTGAAAAGCTTAATGACACTGTAAGTTTGTGAGGTTCGTTTGTTTGTCCCACTTTATGGACCATCAGATATGGGACACTTTTACTTGATATTTAGGGCATTTGGTTTACTTTCATTTGCTATATGGACATGTTTGAGCTCAAACATTAAATGCAACCTGGTGTCAGGAAGTTGGAGGTCGGAAAATCAAAGTAAATGTGACAGAGAAACCTTTTCAAACCATTGATTTATCCCTTCTCCAAGCTGAAGAATCGACGTTTGTTGACAGTCCACACAAGGTTTACATAGGCAATCTTGCGAAGACAGTTACCACTGATGTACTCAGCAAGTTCTTCTCTGAAAAGGGAAAGGTTCTTGGTGCAAAAGTGTCCCGAGTTCCAGGAACTTCGAAGTCCAGTGGCTTTGGCTTTGTATCATTTTCTTCTGATGAGGAAGTGGAGGCTGCTATTGCATCATTCAACAATGCAGTAAGTTGTGCTACATCTTGTTCTTAATATTAGTTGTGCTACATTTTGAGAAAAGAACCACTTATAGTAAGTCTTGTTCATTCTGTATCAACTGTAACCAACTAGCAAAACCATTGCACTATTTCAATAGCTTTAAAAGGAATCAAATTTCAATCCATAGTTTAGTAGCATTTGAAGCTTCTATTCTCTTATGAGAGGACACTTGTTCATTTAGGTGTTATGTGTGATTCCAATTCCTTTCTGCTTATGTGTTTCTGTTTGCAACATTTAGAAGTCTCAGAACATTATTTTCTTTCCATCTTGCTGATATGATTTTATCACTAATGTATTAGTTGGGCAGCTGAAGTGTGGGTTAATCTTTAATTTACCCAGCTGATTCTTCTCGGCAATGTAGAGTTCACTTGGAACCACTTCTATAGGAAACCCTAATAATCTCATATTCAGTTCTTCATTAGTATGTAGCTCATAACAAGCTTCTCCCTAGCACAACCTATCATTCAACACATGCCCTTTGCTTTTGAAGAGATATACTTAAGTAGATTCTTAGGGTGAGATTTTGCTTGAACCATATCTTTCCTCAATGCTACACATTTTGAATAACATGTAATTGACTCAAGAACAACCATCGTATGTGGCTGGAATTTTTTTTCTTTTTTCTCTAATACTTTTGTCTTTTCAGATGTTGGAAGGGCAGAAGATTCGCGTCAACAAAGCATAATGTATTGCTTAAGCACCCTGGAGCACTGAAGCAGTCTTGTGTTTCATGCAACATTGAAGGCCTAGCTCCGGAAATTTTTCTTAAACTGTCTTGTAAGCTTGCTACCAAACATTTCCATCCCAGATTTTGAATACAAACCTGAGCATTTCAGTGTCAGGCTTACTGTGTTTTTTTTGGGAATTAGGTGCTCTGAATAAATAATCTCTGGTCCATTTCTAATCCAAGTCATTTCTTGTTGACTATTGCAAGTCAGCTGCAGCAAATTGGCTTTAGGAGAGAACAAACAGCAATGTTGTTGAGAGATACCTAAAGCCACTCAATTTGAGGTACTAATGGACTACCCTACACACTATGCTGTTTCGGATAGGTAGTTTATCAAGTGCCACCATCCATAATACAACTTTACTAGGCCAACTTACTTAGGTCATGACATTATAAGTGCTCATCATAGATGTCAAAACAAAAAACAAAACCTTTGATCTTTAATATTTGTTGGAATGGATAGGAAAAGCGAAAATTCTTTGCGAGAACAAAATAAGAGCCTTTATTATGGTCAAAAGTTATATGAAAACCAGCTAAAGGACCTTAGAACACTATCAGCATCATTCTTCTATATGTAAGAAAGATTCATCTATCCTTAATTCAAACAGTGTGATCATATGGAATTCCAAGTCTTGGATCCCTTTTTTGTACCAAAACAGTGGAAAAGCTAAGTGAATTCACACACTTGAGTGTTGGAAGAAATTGATCATGTTACACCAAGCATCCATTCAACAAGAATTTATCGGACAAAAATTTCATCTTTAGTACGTGTTAGGAGACTTGACTTGAGGAATGTTCAAAGCTGGTGAGCCTGTCCACACTTGAAATGGAACTGTGTGCTGCATCTTAAAGCTAACTAATCTTCGATGGAAACTTGGTGTAACAGTTGAGCATCGTCGAAACTTTCTGCAGGACTATCTCCTGCAGACGAGACATCCATGTTTTCAGTCTGCACATGACTTGTATTGCTTTTGGCTTGCTCTTCAAGCATCTGCTGCAGCTTCCTACTCTGTGCCTCTATTCTCAACTGCAGGTTCTTCTGAATCTACTCAAGAAAAATGAGACAAGACACAACAACTTGTGATGATTCAACATGAGAACGCCTATCAGAATCATAAGCAGGAAGAGCATCGCACCTCCAGCTGCTCGTGAAGACGCACTTGGACATCTAGTTGAAGCCTCAATGCTTCTGTAAACTGCATGCCACTGCAACAGAATGGTAGCCTCTGATTAGTGAAAGATGCAACTGCAGCCAATCGATTCTTTTTGTGCATAAGATATCAATCAGAAATTACATTTTCGGATCGAGTTCTGCAACATTGGCAGCAGCTCTTCTTTCAAACTTGCCTGCAACATTTAGAGACACACACTGTGAAGTTGGAGATGAGGCAATTGACAAAGTAGCTCTAAGGGCACATCACACATAAACAGTGAAGAATATGAACATCTTTAAGAGCATACATAGTATGGGCAAACTATATTTTCTTCAGGAAATCAATATACGGCAGCAAGAAACTCGTTTGTGTGATTTTTGATGCAAACTTGTTCCGATGCATTGCTATATTTTATGAGACATGAAAAGCACAGAAGCTTAAGACTGAAAGTTCACATGAAAGACAGATGAGTCTCAAGCAGGAAAAGATTTTGTTCTGCATGCCAAACAAAACATTTGCAGGCCATGTTTCCATCTTCAACATCTCTCGTTTTATTCATTTGCTAATGTAAATCTTAATTTGCTTCATAGAAGTTCGAACGACAGCTTATGGATTAGGCTAAAGATTCTTACAGAAGAAGAGTTTTACCTTCTGCTCGTTCTGGCATGTGCTTGGCAATCCTATATTTCTGCAAGACAAACCATCTCAGCTTGAAACTGCAGACTATGATGCATCAAACTATTCCCTGCTCAAGTTTAGGATTACCTGCAAATGGCTCTTGACATGGTATATGGTTAACCCAGCTGAATTCATCAACTTCAGAATCCCCTTTGGAGTTGCTTCTGCAAGCGAACCAACAAGAACACACGAGAATGATGATGGTTTAGGATCCGAGGAGAAGTCTAAACCAAATTCTACCTTGTAGAACAGGTAATCAGATCAAGCTACTTACTCTCGGCTCCTCCGAGCCGATTCGCACACTCCACAAACCGCTCATGGAGATCCTGCGTCCACCTTATTCGCGTTTTGTTGGAGAGAGCCGTGCCGGGAGCAGTCGACAAAGCCTTGGGCAGTTGCTTCTCTGTCTGAAGCTGAGAGTTCTGCTTTTCCGTCGAGGAGCTTGATGGACCGCATCCGACCTTAGAGGGAGAACCGACAATTAAACAAGCAGGGTTACGTGCGCTGCGGAAACCAATACCAAACAAGCACGAAGAGGAGGACAGAACAGAAAAGAAGAGGCAGAGATACGTACAGAGGGATCATGAATGACAAGAGGTGGACTGGCGGCACTCCAACCTGCCTGTCTGCTCCCCGGATGAGGCTGGGGATCTTCACGTAGAAAATTACTGAAATCATCTCTGGAGCTTGGAACTCTGCTTTGCAGCATCCGAAGATTCAAGACAGAGTCCAAAGCATCATCCCTTGACCGACAACTAATACCGTCTTGCTCGAAGAATGACGCTGACGCTGCGGGCTTGTTCGACGACCAAGCTTCCGAGGAAGTCCTTGTCGGTTTAGAGACGGATCGGTAGTCGAGCAGAGGCAAGCCCATCATTTGCTCAGCAGCATAGAAGGCGGCAGGAGACGATCCAACACAGCTCGAACCAGGAGTGGGCAGATCAGGCGGCATGAAACCTCGCCTCGGTGTATGAGAAGAGAAGGGATTCCTTGCCACAGGAAAACAACACCCCAAGAAAGCGGGCGCCTTGTAAGAAAGGTCGAGAGCCTCAAACGGAGCATTGCCCAATGATCCAAAACAGAGGTCATGGAGATCATTCGTCTGGAGATTCATCGCAGACCACTACAAGAACGACTGGAATTCCCGAGAAAGATTAGATCTTTGATCACCGGAACAACTCATTCACTCATTCTTGATCCACAAGAATCCTGAAAGCGAAGGCAAGCAAGCCGCGGACGTTATTCTAGAGACCGAAAGCTCTCTGTTTGCAGGATTACTGTCCCCCCATATTCCACGAGGCTTCAACGACAAGACAAGCATAACGCCCTCAACTAGCTGTTGAAGCAGAAGGCTTGAATGAAAACAATAGCCCACAACAAATGACAGATTGCTGTCATCAAGATCGAACAAGAAGCAAGCTTGACTGTCAGCTCTCTCTCTCTTTCGGATCAAGACAAGAGGCTGGAAGAACGTGGAACTACGTTTCGGCCATAAATATAGCTGGGAAAAGGGAAGGTTGATCGTAACGAGGTGGGCCTTCCCTCAAGAACATAAAGAAGCAGAGAGAGAGAGAGAGAGAGAGAGAGAGAGAGAGAGAGAGAGAGAGAGAACGCAAGAGAACAAATCTGGGAATGGAGAATCTCTTTGGAGTTATCAACCATGCTGACACCGGTGGCATTTTCTTTTCTTTTGCTCTTTTAGTCTATAATGATGATAATTAACGACAATATGAACAAATATGTATGAGAATTATATCCAACAAAAAAAGGTCAATATTTCCACGTTGGAAAGTTCGACATTGTTTTCTATTTTCCTTCTTGTAACAAAAAGTCAACAAATAAAGAACATAAAAAAAAGAAGTTCCAAAATCAAAGTCTAACAAAAGCACTTGGAACACTTTATTTATTTATTTTATATTTTTAGGAAAAGTAGATTAGGGTTTGGTTTGGTGTTCCTCAGGTCATGTTCGAGGATAAAGATGATGGCCAACAACAGCACCTCTCTCTCTCTCTCTCTCTCTCTCTCTCTCTCTTCTACGTGGGGATCCATGCACTACAAACACTCACGTCAGAGAAGTCTTGTCTGTATGTATCGACCTTATGAAATATTTTCTTCAGCTGGTGATGGAATAAGATGGGAAAAATAATATCACTTGAACCTAAAAAATAGTATCATTACAGCTATCAACACTCTCTTCTTGCTATCTCAAGGAGAACATTATAAACTAGTAAGTAATCCAAATCAAGAATTAATCCTTTGCATCATATTCTATTCTCAATCTAGCTAGCTGTATACAAGAGGACGGCCATCTCATTACAGACGCGATCCGATCGAGTGAGAAGATAAGTGTTGCTTTGAGATCTATGAACTCTTGTAATAAAAGATTACACCAACAATGAGGCACACCATATCATTTTCTATCAAGTCAAGGGAGCACAAATGACAGGTTTGCAATAATCAAATGCACCCCTCTCACCCTTATCACAAGTCAGAAAGTGTTGTTCTCATGTAAACCTGCCTCAGTTGTTTGCAGTATTATGCTCATCATCATCATCATCATCATACAAAACAGTCTTTTGTTTAGCAGCACTAAACATAATTTGTAGGCAGCTAAAACAGATTGATTCACAGGTTCATATTCAATATAGAAGAAGAGGGAAGCTAGTGAAGGCTTGGATGGATTCATCTTATAATTGTTGATAAGCTTGTGCTAGAACACCTAAAATATATTTTATTTCTATGAACTAGATAGGGTTCTTAAATTAATCTAGTAACATACTGAAGGGAAGTACATCCTAGAGAGGCCATGTTCATCTTCCAGTTTGTAACTCTCAGTTTGGTAGCACATCATTGATTCAAAGTGATTCAAAGTCTGCGACAAGGATCATTTGGAGTCTTGTTCTCTAAAGGACTGCAGATGCAAAGTTTTCTGACTTCTAATGGTGAGCCTTTTCTTGGTGATTGGATTCTCATGTTGGGTAGTGAAGAAGGGTGGAGTCAGAATGTTGCCATGGCACCAAAAGAAGGCTTTTTTGGCATATGGAAAGATTGGTGATGTGAATTAAAGATGACAAGTATCAGATGATGGGGAATAAACAAATGATTGGATGCTCTCATTAGAATAGGGGAAGTGAGACACCACAGAAAAGGGATGAAGGCTTTGCAGATTTGTTTAAAGCATGTTTGTATTAAATGAAGCATTTGAATTGTTTGTATTATTGCCCTAAGCAACAATATGACTCTTTGGGTTCTGAAAGGACATCAATTATTGGATAGCTTTTTTCTAAGGGACATCATGATCACATTCAGGCACATAAAAGCTCACCAAATGTCATCATCCATCATAACAGTGAAAAGACATTGTCGCTTATAAAGAAGGAAATCAAAATCTTCATCTCTTTCCAAGGAGAGATGCTAGAGAAGGATTTAGCCTAATAAAAACTTGGCTTTTGTGTCAGGGCATATGAATCCTTACGATGAAAAATATAGGTGAAATTGTGATAAAAGTCATGAAAATTAAATGATAAAAAATATTTAATTTCAGTTGTCAATACATAATGCTCATCTCTTTCTTAGGAGAGATGCTGAGTTGACGCCTCAATAAAATGTTATTCGTTCAACAAATTTAGGCAAAATTCCGATAAAAGTCATGAAAATTAAATGATAAGAATGTGAAATTTCAGTGTCAAATGTATAATGCTCACCTCTTATTTTTATTCATCATGAACTTTTTTTAATTCATCATGAAATTTCAGTGTCAAAATAAGATATCTTTCCAAAAAAAGATTTTTTTTTTCTTTCTAGAATTCACCCCAAGAACATATAGAAAAAGAATGTGGGCCGTGACTTAAGTTGTTAGGACAGCCATCACCTCATCGTCATTGGTTGGGCTTGCAAAGCCCATGGGCTTTTCATGGGCTACTCGACCCAGGCCTAGGCCGCCACGTCGGATCTATATTGCCTGCCGAATCAGAGACTAAAAGCCGAAGCTGAAGTGCAATCTGGCAAGTTCATATTTTTAGGTAGTTTACTTAAAAGAACCGCCTAAAAGGCAGAAAATTTGGGAAAACTATATAAACCGGCCTGTCGAGCGCTGCACATCACACGGTTCTTCCTCTGCCTTCTCTTCTTTTCCGTTTCCTCTTGCCAAATCTGAACCCTAGACTCCCGAATCCTCTCTGAAACAAGAAGCCGTCACTTCCGATCCAAGAACTCAGATCACGGAGGCGATGGCCTTCTCTGATCGACCGCTCCTGTTGCCTCGGCATGGCGACGACTGGGGCGTTGGACAATCTCCCGATGCCAAGTCCTGAGGGAGATTCCTCATGGTTCGGCGGTACCTCTGTTTCCTTCTTGTTTTCTTCTCCTTGTTTCCCTTTTTGGATCGAAGCGATTATACTTTTAGGCTTCTAAGATCGATCTATATCTCGTTCTCCGTGTTTCCGATTGCAGCTTCTAATGTCAGGTTGTGCTCGCCGATGTTGGAAGGGGTTACCGCACCTGGAACGTTTGACGCACCAAGAGAAGGACATGATCGTGAAGCTCGAAGCAAGGTTGTGGATGTCTTATGGAAACCCAAACCCTTCACTGGCTAAGGTACTCTTTCTTGCCGTATCGGTCGTTTGCGTAGTACTGTTAATAGGGCATGGGGTATCAGGACAGCAAGCGGGGTCATGATCTGATTGACTTTGACATGAATGTAATTTATCTAACAGGTCGAGCTATCTCTTCTTTCCTGGTAAGATGTCTGTAACCATAGGAGCAACGAAGCACATTTGACAGGAGCGCTAGGGTTCTAAGTGACCATTGATTGAATATTACTTTGCATTGTTTAAAATCTTCATTCAGTAGTATCTATCTGTTCTTGTTGAGAGATGATAATACCAATTCTGTGACCCTTGACCTTATTCTAACAAATGCCTATAATGTTGACATGTGGTCCTTATAAAGAGGATATAGAGATGGTTGTAGATCCTTTAAATTTTAAGCTAACACTATTTTAGCATTCAAATTGAACTGTACATGCATCATTATCAATTTCTATTGTAAATTATATAAATAAAAGAGAAAGAGCGGTCGCGTGGTCTGGGGAGGACATTGTATATAATCTTACCTTTAAATATTTAAAAAGATGGCTTTTGTGACTCAAATCTTAGTCTCATAGGTCTCAAACGAGCAACCTTACCATTGTCTCAAGGCCCGTCTTGACACGGACTTAGCTGGTTTTGCCTAAGTCGTGCGGCACCCTTGCGTGTCCGTCCGCAAAGGTCAGCCTCCCCGAAGACTTCCATTGTCCCTTAGGACCAACAAAAGAGAGAACAGGCAAAAGAGAACGCCTCAATTGGGATCCACAAGCAAACATGTCCGAAAAACACTTCATAGACAATGCAAATTACAAACAGACTTTACAAGCTCTGAACAATGGCACAACAAAGGGTAAAATGGTCCATTACAGACCGAAAAGCTCTCGCACGTGTCTACATGAAACAACCTTTATTTACAAGCCTAAAGAGGCCACCAACCCAACTAAAATGGGACTTATAAGCCTTCGGCTGCCCCTCTACACACTGTACAAGGCATGAACATGCCAACAGACACGGACATACATAAGCATTACATCAAACACCCTGTTTCAAAGTTTGTCCGTGACATTCTCCCCCACTTATCCTTTTGACGTCCTCGTCGAAGCCTTTGTGAACACTGCAACTCTTCGCCTTTGCTGAGTCTTCAATCTTCTGCTCCAGCTGCAATGTGCCTCCTGGCTCCCAGCTGCTCTCCGCTGCTGTTTTTGAGTAGTCGAACCTTTGATCCGCCATGCTGCTTCAACTCGCCAATGACTCTGACTC